GTGCTGATTTGTGCTTTAAGGTCTAGTGAGACTCCTGAGTCATCTCCTTAGGCAGGCAGCGATTTATTTCAGTATGTGTGTTACACTCCCTGGGAGTGGGTGTCTCTCTTCCGCTTTCAGATCCTGCCCTGACTCTTTATATAGACTCCAGGATTGAATCGGCAGCAAAACCAACCCTCAAACTGGCTCCGCTGGTGAGATTCCTGCTGCCGACCTTATCTCTCCTGGCTAAAGGGGCATGGCTATATGGTGCATGGGTAGGAGTTTGCATGAGATGTCTGTCCGTCTTGGGGTTGCTGAGGTCTTAGGACAGATTGTTGGGAAAGAGCTTGCTGACTGGCTGTGTCCAGGAGCAGTCCTCACTCTACAGTGGCTCGTCGTCAAGTGGGGAGCATGGTTTGTACTTCTGGGCACTGCAGCAGTAACATCCCTGAGAAGCCCTGGTGCATCTCTTGAAGTTGAATTTTTGGTTAGTGGGACTTTTCTTCTCTGGGAGAGGTGAGATATATCTGAGTGGCTGTAATTATCTTCTGGCATCACGGCGGAGACCAGTGGTGCCATGAGCAAATGCAGACAAGGCTCCTCAGAGACATTTACAGCACAGGAGCCACCTGGTTAGGAGGAACTTCACTCCCTATCGCGCTCATTTTCCCTAGGTTGGCCCTTTCCAGATACATACCATGTTTGCTTGGTGGCCTTAGTACCCCTGCAGAAAGCTGCCTCGCTGTGTATGAGTTTGGGGGAGCAGGGAAAGTCGCCCTCATGTAGCAGCTTGCTGGAGAGCTGTGGAAAAATCATAAAGCGTCCATAAAGAGGACAGGCTAATAACAGTGTGCTTGTCCTAAAGCTGTCTTCACACCCAGCTAAGCATCATCCTGAGCCACAGGGACAAGTCCTCATGTCATTATGTCTTAAAACTAAATTGCCAGCACTTCACGAGGGCTCTGCCTCCAAAGCCTGAGGGATCTATGCATTTAATACGTATCCAGCCCGAAACAAATTTTGTTAATGTGACCTCGTGATTTGATCCTTGTGGCTACTGCATGCATGTCACTGTGGTCTTCTCTTTTGTAGTTGTAGCTGTTTCTGTGTGGAAGGAAGAGACCTAGACAGAAAGAATTTCCTGAGCTCTTTAACTTGTCAGACATGACATGTGGTTACATAGTCCTTTGCACTGAATTTTCCATGTTTTTCTTGTTTCTCCCTTTAATAGCTAGATGTTTTTAATGCTATTCTTGTTTAGCAGCTTCTCTGTTAGCATACCAGTTAATGAGGAGTGGGAAGAATTCGTGCACTGACCTATTGCTGCTGCTGCTGTTTTTCTTTTCTGCAACAGAAATCAGATATAATTTGAAATCTTCTATGAACTGCTCCTCCAGGGCCTGAGCTTGCACTCCCTCCTCCAGTGAACGTCTGCAGGAGGTGGGAGCACCTCGAGTTTCCTTAGTGGTGCAGAGCAAGCTGATGAGGTTCAGTCTGTGAATCGGTAATCTCGCATCTGGGATAAATAGCCCCATGTAGGTCTGAAACTTGGTTTTAAGTCAGCGATGACTTAATCTGCCTCAACACTGGGAGGAATGAATTAAGATTGTGTCTATGTGGCAAGGTAAAGAGAGTGTCTACACAGGACAGATGAACGGGACTCTAAAGATGTCTCTGTCTCTCCAGTGGCTCTGCAGGGAGATAGGACTTCCTTAGAGAGCCGTCTACTCTAGGTGTAGCCATGTAAGAGCAGGTGAGACCTACCCCAACCTCAGCTCTCCACCCTGTGCTTAGGAATAGCCAAATTCAGGAGATCCAGTAGTACACTGGGCTTGGCATTGCCTGGGCTTGATCCATTTGTATGCAAGAACTTGGGTACCTACGAAAGGGCTGAGCATGCTGGAGGGCTCCTTCTCTGAAGAGCTGGGGACTGTGGCTCCCCCGTCCTCTGAGTGCTCCTATTTGCAGAGTGCTCAGTGGACAGGACTGGTCCTGTCCGAGATTTTTCCTACCTCTGTTGTCTCAGGTTTTATTGTTTTCTTCTCTGGGGCTCTCGGCTGGTGAGGGATGGCATTTCTGTCATCTTCAATTGTATGTGGCCATTAGGATCCCCTGGCTTTGCTGCCAGAACCTCCTTCTCTGCTTGCTGTGGGCAGGTATATCGCTATCGCAGCCGTCGAGTTAAAACAAGCCAATGCAAATTTCCCTTGTGAGCCCAGATGTCGCTTTTGGTTTGCTCTGGTTGTTTCTGGGTGCGTGTGTTTTCCTCCTTCCCTTTGCTGTTTTACAAAAGACGTAAGTGTAACTGCTGCCCCGAGCTCCTCGTGCTGCAGACATGGGAGTGGATAACTCCTCTCTAGGGGCTCTCGTTGCCCCCAGAGAGCGTGTCTGGCTCTGTGCCTGCCTCATGGGGACAGGGGTGTTGCTTTGGGTTTGGAGACCCATGGGGACACCTCCAGCTAAGCAGCCCTTTGGGAACCCTGGGTTGCCTTTGGATGTTAGTGGTGGGAGAAAGCTCACCCCCCCAGTACCAAGTGTTTATTCACTCTCTGCTATTTTACGACTTGAGGTTAGTTCCCTGGCGCAGGCAGGACAGAGCTGCTCTGACTCCAATCAGTTCATGCTCTGACACCTTGCTGCAGACACGCTTCTCGGAGTGGTTTCATCATCTCAGTACTAGGAACATACAGATAGGGATGCTTCCCCTGATGGACCCGTTTCTTTTTCCTTGTAGACCCCTGGGTTGCAAGTTAATGTCTATAGGCCCTTCAAAAAACCCCAGTTGAGTGTGGATGCAAGGAGACCTGCCAGCCCTTGCCTTTGCACCCTCCCACCTGGGAAATGTCAAGTTCTTGCGCAAAAAATCTGATTAATTGCCTGCATAAAAGAAACCTGCATAAAAGGATGGAGTTAAAAGGTGCTATGATAGATAATTTTTGTGCTAGACCTTTGCAGGTTGTCTCCTAGCTGGTGTTGGGAGGAAAATTCCCAGCAAGCACTTCTGTTGGATTTGCCTCTTTTTGCCACCCCTCTCTGCAAACGCTCTACAGGGAGAATGAGTGCGTCTGGGGACACGCTCAGGTGAGCAAGCCTGCCCAGCCCCAGCTGGCTGCAAACCAGCCAAAATGGGCTACACCTCCCAAAGGATCTGCATTCTGATCTAGGCCTGGCCTCTTGGCCCTTCTCCGCGTGGGAGCAGAGGACTATTTCCCAATTTAAAAAAAAAAAAAAGAGAGAGAGAGAGAGAAGTTCATTAATTCATTAAGCTAATGGAGGGCCAGCAGTCCCATACGTAGCTGGGGAGGCCCGTCAAGCCGCATCCCCACGTGATGTACGCAGGGGAGAGCAGCTGGAGTGGAGCCTGACCCTGCGGCCGTGTTACCTGGTGAGACGCGCACTGTGCACCGCCGCCCGGGGAGGGCAGAGCGTGAGTCAGCAGAGAGCAGCCCTACCGAGGGGCTGGCTTGGCGCAAACCTGATGGCGTGCCTCTGTTGTTTTTCATTTACTGAAAGTGCAGCAGAAATTAAGTGAAGTTAATTAAACTTTTTTTTTTTCTTCCTCCTTCCCTGCTTCCTTTTGCTGCTTCTTGAGGGAAGATTGGAGGACTGAAAAAATATGATTGAGCTAAATTCTGAGCATCCTCTCGTGAGTGCAGAAGAGAGCCCCTGGGACTGCAGGGAAGGGCCCCGTGATTACGGGCAGCCTCCTGCGAGGCCGGGTTGCGCGACCTGCATGGATAGCTGCTGCGGCTCTGTTCAGCAGCCGGCGCATGATGCTGTAACTCCGGATACTACCTGGCTCTCATCCATGCATTGCTTTTATCACCGTCGGTGTCCCCAGCGTACAGCACAGACCGCTAGCACGGCTCTGAGCCAAGAAGGAGGTAGGAAGGAGAGCAGAGGATCCTAAAAGGCCATTTGATATTTACAGAGCCTGGTGGTGACATAATTCCCGGACAGCCCAGGTGCATCACAGACTGGCTGACGGGTCACTGAGGAGCTCTTGCTACAATGCCCCCGAGTAAAAGCAACTCTGCCCTGGCGCAGTCAGGAGCAAAGAGGCAGCAAGCCCCGATGGGGAAGAGTTGCGTTGCAGAGTGCTCGTTCCCTTTGCACGGACTTTTCCATGTGGGTTAAACAAGATGAGCCAAGTTAACAGCTGGGAAAGGGATTTAGTTCTGTAGCATCTAGTGCCCCGGACGGAGAGGGAGGGTCTGACGCTGGAGCAGAGACCTCTGCTGCGGATGGTGTTGTGCGTGGGGGAGTTGGCCCTGCTTACTCTCACGTGTCTGTGTGCTGTCCCAAAATTGCGGGTTTTGCCTCTTGGGTCCAAGCATGCCTTGGTTACTGTTGCCCTGTGCAGGACCTTCATGTAGGTTTGAGGTATCTACTCTAGAAGGATTTATTTGCTCACTGGGGGCTATGAGTGTCTTGAGTTATGTACGAACTTACCGGTGCCTCTGTGGGTGGGAGAGAATCGTTATCTCCATTTTCCAGTTTGGGTTGGGACATGCAGTATGGAGGAATTTGCTGACACAAGATGCCCGTGCCATAGTCTGCCATCCCTGAACACTGTGCCGTGATGCTGCCCTCCCTCCTCCAGCAATGTTGATGGTCTCCCAAACAGACAAGGAGACTTCAGCTTGTGCCTCTGTCCCATCAGGCCTTCCCGGGAGTTAAATTGTTAAAGAATGTCTCTGATCTCCATTATAAAAGTTGTTAGAGCATAGCTACTTGTTAGAATAGAAAATACTCCATTTCCCTACTTTAACAGTTGGCTTCATCTGCTTATGGGATTTACAATAAAAAGGAAGAGTTTAAAGCAAATCATCCAGAGAGACTAGGGTGAAAAGTAAACACGTGGAAATAACGTAGAGGATCTTTGCAAAGGGGTGTGGAGTTTTCTGTCCCTGTACTACGTGGTGGCTGGTCTGTATCTTCTACCTGACAGAAAATCAAATGCAAAAAAGATACCCTGGTGTGGCTTGTGCGTTACCGGCACCTGCCTGCCCGTGTCCATGGAGAGGCCTCTGGAGTTCAACAGTCATTGCAGACAACAGCCGAAACGTTCTCCGGCTTCCCTCGACTGCCGCATCCGGAGCGAGGCCACGGAGCGCATGGCTCCGACCGCCGGAGCGAGCGGGGCTGGCCCCCAGCACTCTGGGAGCAAGGACCTCCCGGGCCAGCGTGGTGGGCTGAGGTGGCCCCGCTGAAATAGGAGGTTGGAGAGCGTTTGCTGCTGTGACTCTGTGACATCCGAGCGTGGAGGGAAATTCCCCTATGCGCTGTGGCTCTCTCCCTGTAGCCCATCCGAGACCCTCGGCAACGCGGCTGTGTCCTGCAGGGGATTGCAGTGGTTTGGGACTGGTTTCTGTGCAATGACCATTCGTTCAGATTATAGAGGCCCACATGAAGGTGCTGTTGCAAAGAAAAACACCTGGAGCTGGCTGCAGGCTTTCGCCAGCTGCTGAGTCAAGTGATGGATTTATGATGATTTTTGAGAGCAGGAAACCATGGCTGCAGATTGCTGCAATGCCCAGGGTCAGACGTTTGCTTGCGCCTTGCGAGAAATCCGATGGCACCTGCTGGTTTGTAGGAGACTGGATTTTCGCAGGAGCAACGCAGGCTGCGACTCTGCTGTTTGCAGTTCTCTCGGTTTGGAAATGGCTTTGCCCTGGCAGCATCGGCACCCAGCTGCAACGAGGCTGTTTCATGGTCCTCGTCATCCCCGAGCTGAGTCGACGGGAGGGGATAAACCACAGAAACCGGCTTCAGGGTCAGATGGACATTGGGAACAGGGTCACGCTTCTGCCGGGCTGGGTCAGGTTTCTCCCGGAGCTGGTGGAAGAGGTGCCGTCCCCTTTCCCCTCTCCCTTGAGTTAACCTGCTGCAGCGCCGCGGTGCAGCGTGGTGGGAGAGTCCCGGGGAGGCTCTTGCAGGGCCTTGGGCGAGCTGTCTGGGGACTCGGATTGTGCCTGAGAAAAGGGGGTTAAAACAGGTTTTTGCAAGCCTTTGCCTGCCATTTTAAAAGGGAAGGATGTTTCCTTGGCAACGAGATGGATGCTTCCCAGCAGAGCATATGGCTTCCATCTACTTTGATTTACCGGAGTGTTGAAATGGCAGCTAGATAATCTCTCCTCGGCTTTTATGTGTCTGTTCCACGTGTCCCTATTGCTCGTGAGCTTTAAGAGACCACGGATCTGCCCCTGCTGCCCTGGGTCTTGCTCCCAGCCAGTCCTGGGCTGGAGCTGGGCTGGTCCTGGGCTCAGGGCTGGGCTGCGGCCTCCGTTGGAAAGAGGGAGCTGGCACAGGGGACCCCTGGAAAAGCATCGCTGGAGCCAAGCAATGACTGGGGTGGGCTGGGAAAACCTGCCCTGCTTCGGTCGCCTTTCACTGGCTGAACGGCTCCTTCTTGTGGGAGGACAGAAATAACCTGCAGCCCTCTCTTCCTCTTCTCCCCATTTTAAATCATTTTTAGATGTTTTCCACCTTTCACCACCCAATCACCTTCCTCCTGCAGCTTGCTATTTGTTGTTGTGTTTACAGGCGCGGGGAAATAAGGACAGGGAACAAACATGACATTTTCTGAGCAGGGCAGTTTTGGGGAGCTGGTTTCTGCTTCTCGCTCTCTGGCGTCTGCCACCACTGCTGACCTCGCGCTGCGGCCGCCTCTTTCGAGGGCAAAACCCAGCTCTCTCCTCCTCGTTGCTGCTCATCAGATAGGAAGCGGATCTCTGTCCTTTGTCAAATTGGATCAAAGTTGGCCAACAGGTCCAAATACTAGGTGGGGACAGAGACAGACAGTCAGGGTGATCACATGCGCCTCATTGCCTTAGGAACCGGGCTAAAAATAGCGGGAGAGCTTCATTCCCCCGACGTGGGGCTGGGGCTGGTGCAGATGTGGGCAGCAGCTAGTGCGAGGCTCAGGCCTCGGAAAGCAGCTGCTTTGAGTGGGCTTAAATGAGACTGGAGCGCAGCGCTGGCCTGCGAATCTCTGCGCTGCAGGGATCGGCGATAACGGGTGCTGTTGCTCCCGTGTGCCAGCGATGCTACCTGGGGTTTTCAGGGAGCTATAGAAGATGCAAAGCTGCCATAACACCTCCCTCTCTGTATGTGTCCAGGTGAGCCAAAAAGCTCCTGTTTGCACCCAGCCCCCCAAAGCCAACCAGTGTGGAAGGCTTTAAAAAGGAGGTTGCCTTGCCACTGAGGTCCCCATTATTTCCTTGGGCAGGACGGCTGCTTTTCCCCTGCCCAGGCTGCCCACCTCTCCGTGCATCGCCTTGCCCGAGAGCGGCTCTCGCCGAGCCGAGGTGTCCCCTCCAGCGCTCCGGTGCTCGGTGACGCTCGCCTGCTCTTAACTCTGCACCTGGTCGCCCACTTGCTGCGCTCACGTTATGCCGGGGAGAAAGGAGGAGATAACGGAAGTGATTAATCACCTGCTGGGGCTTCGTTTCTAGCGCGGTGCCAGGAGCGGCTGCTCCCTCGCCCCGCGGACCTGGCGCCCTCCCTGCGCAGGTGTAGCCATCTCAGCTTCCTTCGGGGACGGCATTGCTGGCCGGGAGCTCGGTGCCGCGAGGGAGCGAGTCGTCCAGGTGGGTGGCCTCTGATCCTGGCTCTTCTCTTGGCTTTGCAGGGCTCAGGCAAGTGACTGTGAATCCCTGTTGACCAATGGGTTCTCATTTTTGGTGCTTTTATACTGAGCTTGAAGCACTGAGGACCGGCCTCTGGGAGGTGCTGAGCACCTCAAAGCGAAGGGAAAGCAGCAAAGACTGGGCACCTCTGGGGCACTGAAAACCAAGCTCTTGGGGCTGGGTCCAGGCAGGTGTTAAGGCGAACTGAAGTGCCTGCTCTGGTACCTGAGATTAAGACTGCAAGGACAGGTCCAGACCACCTGCAGTTGAGTTTTCTGCCCAGGCTGCCCATGCAGGTGGTGAGGAGAGGCTGTGCTGGGGCTCAGCGCTGCACGTGGCCAGCAGCCTTGAGTGCTCATCGCTCTCGTGGGCTGAGGTGTCCCAGCAAGGTCAGGTCTTGTTTAGGGGCTGCAGAGCTAGTGGAGGGCCTAGGCTTGAAGGAAGCATTGGAAGTCAGAGGGATGCTTCTGATCCTTGTGCTTTTTTGCCTGTCTCCATCAGCCTGTGTGTCATGCATGTCATAACAGCGAGAATGCCCCCGGGCTCTCTGTGTATAACTTTACCTGGGCTTTGCATGCGTAAAAGTAGTACGAAAGAGCTAAGTTGTTAAATTTTACTGGAGACTTCTTGCTACAGAAGAGGCAGTGCTATATGGCCTGACCATCATCCTTGCAAAACAGAGGGGAAATCTTGCTATGGTTCGTGGAAAACCACTGGAGAAGGGGGAATCTGATGATAAAGGACTTTCTAGAGTTGCTTCTCCTGGAAGACCTGAAATGGTGACATTATTGGGAGAGGATAGACAGCGAGTTGTTGTGATGCTCCTTCCTGCCCGAGACGTAGGGGCTGTGTCGGCAATTTTTCTGGGGCTAAAGAGCACTGCCCTGTTAAGTGCGAGCTCTCCGGAGGTCTCTGTTTGTTCTGCAGCCCGTCGCAGGGCTGCCCTTAGCTGCTCCTCAGGGCTGCCTGTCTGCGTGGCTGATGCCCTTGTCATGCCTGGGAACTTCACAGAAATGTTCCCGCTCACTGGAGCCAGCGTGACGGCCCCGTGGGTCGTACTGGGCCACCTGTCCTGGGGAGGAGCACGCAGTCCCGCGGGTGGCAGGGAGGTGAGCGCCTGCTCCCAGGCAGCTGCGTGCCGGCGGCGG